TGCAAGAACACTTTCTGCTCTTAAGTTTTCCTCATCTGAGTGTCAGTTTCTTAATCAGAGCCATACCCACTCCCTAGCCAGGCCAGGTAGTCCTGCTAGTTCTTTCCACAGCACCATGGCTGCACTGTGAAGTCTATGGGCTTATCAAGTAGCCATTCACTAGCTAGTCTAATTTGAAGGTTCCTGATGCAAGGAGGAATATGACATAGCCCTGCTCTCAGTGAGTCCAGACAGCATTAAACAGGGATCAGCAACATGTGAGACAGCCAATGCTCCAGGAGAGGATGGGAGGAGAGTGGAATGGGAGGCAGGTACTCTGGAAGGAGTCCACTCTGACAAGTGACAGCTGGTGGCAACCTGAGAGGTAATTGGAGTTCCCAGGGAAACTGTTCCAGGCAGAAGGCACAGGTGCTTAAAGGTGGAAAGGATGGGCTGGAAATGGGGCTTGGTAGAGTGCTTGTCCAGCATGTACGAAGCCTTGGGTTCAATTCCTCAGTTACCACATAAACAGAAAAGGCCGGAAGTAGCACTGTGGCTCAAGTGGTAGTGTTAGCCTTGAGCAAAAGAAGCTCAGGGACCGTGCCCAGGCCCTGAGTTCAAGCTCTAGGATTGGCAAAAAAATAAAAAAAAGGTAGGAAGGATACTTTGTGAGGCACTGAGTGTTGTTCCAATGTGGTTGGACAAGGTATTGATGAGATTTCAACAAAGGAGTGGCATGGCTGGGGTTATGGTCTTTATGAATTATGTAATTCAGGATCAGAGGAATCAATTGAGGAAGGACAAGGAGAGATTGGTTATGGAATTCCCAGAGGCATCTGATGGGTAGTAACCGGGGCCTCGCTCAGGTGGTGGCAGTGGACTTGGGGCAAAATGAATTGTGGTTGCCTGGACTGGGGGTTGGGGAAGAGGGAGGGAATGAGAGTGACTCCATTCTTACACTTCAAGGGTGGTGGGGCCTGGTCACCAGTTTCCTGTGATGCTCAGCCCCTATTCTACCTGGTATGGGGCTGATGTCCACTGCTTTCACTGTCCATCCTTCTTCTAATGCTTAAGAGGCCAGAGACTGCTGAGAAGGCCTGTACTAGGCAGCAGGGAGAAGAAAGTCAGGTTTGAACCCCAATATGGTGGGGCTTCAGCCTTGAATTCCCACTCTGGCCTCAATGAAGACCCCAGCCCTGGGATGTTCAAACCCTGAGGCCCAGTCCTTGGAAGTCTTGGGGCCCTCACTAGGGACTGAAAGGCCACAACCCTTCAAACAGGTCAGAAAGATTGTCAGCTAATGTCAATGTGTCTGTCCTGTGAGTGGAGCCTCAGCAGTGCTCACCCTACCCTCAGAGGCTGGCTCATCCCCATCCAACCCAGGAGCCAAGGGGTTAAAGAACTTGCTGAAATTCACACAGCTCAAATGAGGCAGAGTGAAGATTTGAACCAAGGTTTGACTGACATCAGAGTCTGTGCTTTTACCTCTTGTGCTATATTAAGCTTGTCCACCCCTTGGCTGATTGGCTCAGCAAGGGGAGGAGGCTTTGTGGGGGATTTGCTGATGGTTGGGGTGGCTGCCCCCCTCTCATATCAAGCAATGGGAAAGGGTAGTGCTGACGTCAATTGTTGCCATGGTGATACAGCAACCCTTTCCCTGCCATCTCCATGGAAACGTGGGGGGTCCATCTGTACTTCGCCCCCTTCTTCTAAAAGGGGGTCTCTTAGGGAGGGGCTGTCTAATGAAATGTCTGAGAGAGAAGTCAGGGAAGGCAGTGATTCAAAAATCCTCTGTTGCTGGTCCCTCCTCATTGCTCAGGCCCGGAAAATAAGGCTGAGGCCTGGAGGTCCTGCACCGGAGTCAGCGGATAGTTTTACCCTTCAGATGACAGAGGTAGTTCTGTCTTCTCAAAATGCCCCTCCTTTTAGAAACATCCTTAGGCTCCTGAGCAGAACTGTTAGGAAGTTGACAGATCAAGGCAAGAGGGTTTCCCCTGTCTCCTGCAGAGCTGGCCTTCACCCAGCCCTGGGGGGGGGGGGGGGGGGGGGGGAGGGAGGGAGATATCGGTGTCCTAGGCTGGCTGGCTCTTTACTGCCCCCTGTAGCTACAAATTGGCATAACAGCAGTCTCCACCTCTTTCTTCAAGGGGCTGTCCCAGGGATTGCCTCATTGTTGCAGAAGGTAACTTTAGCTCCATTTTCCAGATCTAAAAATGGAGGCTTAAGAGAGACTTAATGGAGGCTTAAGAGAGACTTAGAAAATCAGTATGATGTTGTACAGTTAGAAAATGGGAGAGGCACGACTTGAACTTGCGCTTTTGCAGAAGGAAAGAAGACAAAGGAACAGAAGAGAAATAGGAGAATGAAATGACACAGATTGGAGCCTGATACTTTGTCACCTACAAAGTTCGAATTCCTCAGCCTGTTTCTTTAAGTGTTCCTAATCTAGCTTCTTTTCTATTAAGCCATTCCTGATCCTTCGCATTAGATGGGTCTCTCAGCACTGGGGATGGGCCTGGAGTGTTTTAGTAAAAACTGAATTCCTTGAACTTGTCCTTCTGCTTCTGGATTGTACCCACAATGCTCACTCTACCTGGGGCCCCAGGGTCTGGCCCCCACTGGCAAGATCAGTTTCCTTTAAAAAAACAAACCAAAAACAAACCAAGGACCAAGAACAGTAGCGAAGGGAAAGGAGAGAGATTAAAAGAGAAAAAGCCTGGCACCAGTGGCTCACGCCTATAAACCTAGCTACTCGGGAGGCTGAGAGCTGAGGATTGCGGTTCAAAGCCAGCCCGGGCAGAAAAGTCTGTGAAACTCTTATCTCCAATAAACCACCAGAAACTGGAAGTGGCACTGTGGTTCAAGCGGTAGAGCGCTCACCTTGAGCTGAAGAGCACAGGAACAGCACCCAAGCCCAGAGTTCAAGCCCCACGACCAACAACAACAACAACAACAACAAAGTCTACGAGACTCATCTCCAACTAACCATAAAAATCTGGAGATGGAGCTGTGACTCAAGTAGTAGAGCACTAGCCTTGAGCAAATAAAGCCTGGGTTAGCACCCAGGTTCATAAAGACTCTGGCTAAAGGCCTGGTAGTACATATCTAAATCCCAGCACTTGAGAGGCAGAGGCAAGAAGACCACAAGTTAGAGGACAGCCTGAGGTACATAGTGGCACACTATCAAAAAGGAGAAAGGGGCTGGAAATGTGGCTTAGTGGTAGAGTGCTTGCCTAGCATGCATGAAGCCCTGGGTTCAATTCCTCAGTACCACATAAACAGAAAAGGCCAAAAGTGGTACTGTGGCTCAAAGTGGTAGAGTACTAGCCTTGAGTAGAAAAGCTCAGGGACAGCACCCAAACCCTAAGTTTAAGCCCCATGGACAAGAAAAAAAAAAAGTGTTTTAGTGACCACAGGATCTGAAGTGCACTAATGGAGAGCTTGGATTTCTACCCTGTGTGGGTTAGGGAAGAGATGATGAGTGAATTGTACTTGGATCTCAGCGGGCAAATGACTTGATCTGTGGGTCCATTTTTTTTTTCCAATACTAAAAAACATATACAAGCTCCTGGTAGCAAAACTGGAAATTGCTCAGCTTAAACACTACCACACCTGGGCAGCCTTGGTGTCAACAGGCTTGCCTGTGGATCTTAAGGCATTAATATGAGGAGTATACCAGCATTGCCCATCATCTGGGGGTTTTAGAGCAAGACCTTCCCCTGAAAACCAAGAAATGAAGCCAAGGTTTTCCCAATGACCTCTTTACCCAACCTGGGAAACCAAAAGTCAAAACACTTTTGTGCAATCTCGAACCTCAACACCAAAGTCATGGATGCTAGCAGGCGCTAGTAGCTCATGCCTGTAATCCTAGCTACTCAGGAGGCTGAGATCTGAGGATTGCTATTCGAAGCCAGCCAGGGGAAGAAAAATTTGTGAGATGCATCTCCAACTAACCACCAAAAAAGCAAGAAACGGAGATATGGCTCAAGTATTAGAGCATTAGCCTTGAGCAAAAAAGCTCAGGAGCAGCACCCAGGTCCTGAGTTCAAGCCTCAGGACTAGCACACAAAGCTACAAGTACTGCAAAACAGAAGGTTGCAAAACCTAATTCTAGAAGGCTAGGGTGTAGTTCATGTGATAAGAGAATTGGTCTGGCAAGCTGGAGGGCCAAAAACAAAAACACGAAATACAATTCCATCATGGGAGAATGACATGGGCATTGTATGGTAGTCTCTTTGTTTTTGTTTTTGCCAGTCCTGGGGCTTGAACTCAGGGCCTGAGCACTGTCCTTGAGATTCTTTTTTTTTTTTTGGGTCGGGTCATGGGGCCTGAACTCTGGGCCTGGGCGCTGTCCCTCAGCTCTTCAGCTCAAGGCTAGCGCTCTACCACTTGAGCCACAGCGCCACTTCCGGCTTTTGTTTTTTCTGCTTATATGGTGCTGAGGAATCGAACCCAGGGCCTCATGCATGCAAGGCAAGCGCTCTACCACTGAGCCACCTTCCCAGCCCCTGTCCTTGAGATTCTTTTTGCTCAAGGCTAGTACTCTATCACTTGAGCCACAGCGCACTTCCAGCTTTTCCTGTTGATGCGGTGCTGAGGAATGGAACCCACCGCTTCATGCATGCAAGGCAAGCACTGTACCACTAAGCCACATTCCTAGCCTGAAGTCTCTTTCTGTTCTAAGCTGACATCTGCCCAGCAATTACTTGGGGACGGAGGGTAGCACAGGCTGGTGCAGAAGGGCGGGGTCGCAAGGGCAGGGGCCAAGGCAGGAGGCGGTCAGAGCTAAAGGAAGGTGCTACTGCACTCTGCCGGAACCGACGGACAGACACACACGGCCAGCCCGGAGTGGAAAGAACAGTTTATGCTGTGCTTTATTAAAATGTGCATCATTCTTTTATTTTAAAATGTGCATCATTGTCTCGTGCTCGGCGCGTGCGACCTCGGCGTGGTGGCCCGCAGCGGGCCTCGTCGGGCCTCTTCCAGCCCGGCTCCCGCGGAGCCGCCGTGCGCAGGCGCGCTCAGGTGGCGCGGGCCCGCGGGCTCCCGCCCATGGCCAGGTAGACGTCGATGGGCACGTGCAGCAGCGTCAGGCAGTGGCAGCCAGGGCAGCGACGCAGCGGCCTGAGGAAAGCGGCGCGGACAGGGCCGCTGAGGCCGGCAGGCCGGGCCCCCGAGCTGTGGGGGCGCCCCGGGGATCATCCGAGGCCCGAGTTGGGGGCGGGGTGGGAGCTGGGGTGCGGGGCGGGGCCCGCCGGGCGCCGGCCTCACCTGACAGGGTTGTGCTCGGTAGTGACCGGCTCCGGGCTGTCCTGGGCCTCGGGGGCGGCGGCAAGGCCAGGGGAGTCTCCGGCCTCAATGGGGAATCGTCGACCCTGCGGGGGCTCCTGGGCACTCATGTCCAGGCCCCAGGCGCTCTGCGCGGGCCGCCGGGCGCCCCCTGGGCGGTGGCTCACCTGCCGGAGGCCGAGGCCGAGGCCGAGGCCGGTCCCAGGCTGGAAGCAGCTGCCTGAGCCCAGGCCGCGGGAGGACGCTCCGGTCCAGGCGGAGCCGGGCAGGTGTCTGCGGCGCTCCCCGGCCGTGGCCTCCAGTGGAAGGGCGGCATTGTGACCTCACAGAGCCCGTTCCTCTGCCCGGGAACCCGGGGCCGCCTCAGCACTTGGTGCATACCCGATCCGGGGTCCCAGGACTTGGCCATTGCGTCTGGACATCCGGGCCCCCCACGATGGAGGCACTGGGGTCAAGGGCGGCCTGCCGAGAGGCAGCATCCACACCGGGGAGCGTGGCACTCCCGAACCCCAATACACACCCCCCGCGCTCTCGGGGGCAGGGCTGCATCTCACCGCCGGGCCCGGCGGCGGGGACCTAGCCCAGGCTGTTTTGCAGGTGTGGTGCGGGAAGGTAGGGCTACTGCCCATTTTGGCCAAGGGTCACACAGCATTTACATCACAATTGGGCTAGAGTTTTAAAATGTCTGACCCTCTCCCTCCCCACCACCCGTGGCTGTGTCCGGACGGAGAATGTTCTAGCGCTGGAGGCGGCTGTGGATGAAGTCCTTGGGAGGAAAAGGAGCAGGCCGAGGGCGATGGTGGAGTAGCGCTGCCTCTGCGAGGCAGCATGAGCTGAGAGGGTGATAGAAGGCGCTAGACAGCATGGAGGAATTTCTGCTCTCCAATGGGTACCAGCTGGGCAAGACCATTGGGGAAGGGACCTACTCAAAAGTCAAAGAAGCATTTTCCAAAAAACACCAAAGAAAAGTGGCAATTAAAATTATAGACAAGATGGGAGGGCCAGAAGGTGAGCTTGGACCTCTCTGAAGGGGGGAGGAAGGAAACATTCCTTCTCCTTTAGTTGGGAATGTTCCTTTAGAACATTCCTTCTCCTTTAGTTGGGAGCCCAGGAAAGGGAGCCAGACTATGGTCTGGGGGTGAGAAATAGCGGGATGTGGGAGTCCAACAGCACCCAAGACTAAGATTCAAGGTGAAGAATCCTGGGACATCTATTCTAGGAGGGGTCAGACTGGCAGAGGCCATTGCTAGGGCTAGTGGAGGGCAGGACCTGGTGCTAAGACAGGTAGAGATGGGAAAGGGGAAGCTCCGGCTCCAGGAAAGAACTAGTCAGTAGGCACTGGTGGGAGGAACTGGCTCTCCACTCTGGCTATTGGGCCTGAGATTCCATCCCTCTACCCCAACACTTTGATATCTGAAGTTTCAAGGACTGCTTATGCTAATCCTTTTAAGTTGGCAGGGAAGAGTTCTTATGACAATGTATTAACTACCAAAATAAATGTAAATTCTTTGCAATGTTCTGGCTGCTAGGCACTTTTGAGACTACTAAGGAAGTAAAGGAACCACCAGCCATAGTGGGTGGTAGACCGAAGGCTGGAAGACAAAGTCAGGACTCTCTCCTTCCCATGTTTCCTCAGAGTTTATCCAGAGATTCCTGCCCCGGGAGCTCCAGATCGTCCGTACCCTGGACCACAAGAACATCATCCGGGTGTATGAGATGCTGGAGTCTGCCGATGGGAAGATCTACCTGGTGATGGAGCTGGCTGAGGGCGGGGATGTCTTTGACTGTGTGCTGAATGGGGGGCCACTGCCTGAGAGCCGGGCCAAGGCCCTCTTCCGCCAGATGGTCGAGGCCATCCGCTACTGCCATGGCTGTGGCGTGGCCCACCGAGACCTCAAATGTGAGAACGCCTTGTTGCAGGGCTTCAACCTGAAGTTGACTGACTTTGGCTTTGCCAAGGTGGTGCCCAAGTCACGCCGGGAGCTGAGTCAAACCTTCTGTGGCAGCACAGCCTATGCCGCCCCTGAGGTGCTGCAGGGTATTCCCCATGACAGCAAGAAGGGTGATATCTGGAGCATGGGCGTGGTCTTGTATGTCATGCTCTGCGCCAGCCTACCTTTTGACGACACAGACATCCCCAAGATGCTGTGGCAGCAGCAGAAGGGAGTGTCCTTCCCCACTCATCTGGGAATCTCGACCGAATGCCAGGACCTGCTCAAGCGGCTCCTGGAACCAGACATGATCCTCCGGCCTTCAATTGAAGAAGTTAGTTGGCACCCATGGCTAGCAAGCAATTGATAAAAGCAATGGCAAGTCCTCCCCAATAAAGTAGGGGGAGAAAGCAAACCTAAAAACCCGCTTCTAAAATGGTGATATATATTTTACATTTTAAGTTTACTTATCCTGAAACTAACATATACCCTTCCCTAGACTTACACTACTCTTCCCCTCTAAAGATCTTTATGAACCAAGGATCTCATTCACAATTCCCTTTTATTATTAACAGCTGGAAAGTACTTTTCATACAGGTGTTTAAAGCTAATTAAATTAGACCCCAGAGCTGGGAGGAGCGGAGACAAATGACTGGAGCAGTTGGAACCACTATTGCTACAGCTTCTTTTCCAAATAAAAGCAGAAGTGATGGGAATGCAGAAACCACCTCCCGACTCCTTGTTTTGCTGAGAGGCCTACTGAGGCCCCGTCCCTTTCTCATCCCAGAGGACAAGCTAAGTCTGAGGTAAGGATAAGGTTAGGACCCTGGCTATGCCCCAACTTATACCCCCAGTTCCAAGTGGGAAGCTACCCTGCAGTGTGAGTCCTGCCCAGGCTCCAGTGTGGCTGCCATGGGGGACAGAAACAGATCCCTGGACACTTCCGACTTCTGTTGAATTTCTTTAATGCTGTTATGGCAAATCTGTAAAAGGTTCAAGACAAAGTTTTTTTTTTGTTGTTGTTGTTCCTTTTAATTACAAAACTAACAGCTGTTAGAATCTTTTTTCTTTTTCTTTTTTTTTTTTTAAACCTTTTCCTGTTTTCTTTTCTTGGCTACAAAATACTCTGGGGAGATGCATTATAATTTAAAATATATAATATTGCACAACAACCAAAAGGTTAATTAAACTAAAGAAGTAATTACAAAGAGAAAAACCCCATCCCGTCAAAATAAGATTGAGCATTCTCTCTACCCCACCCCTTATTGAAGGTTTGCAGTGAAGTGCCTACTACTCTTGGTGCCCCCACCATGATCCCTTTAAATCACTGGTGGACACACCAGCTTACAAACAGCAATCATCAGGCAACACCTGTGAAGCACCAGAGGTCTCCAGGAATCCCTGCAGTCCTCATTGCCCCAACAAAGGTTCAACTTCACCAGAGTAGAGGGTAAGAGCCATAGGCTAGCTTTGTCTTCTGAAGGATTGCCTCTGCAGAGTCTGCTAAGTCTCAGAACTTTCACCCAGCCCTGTTCCTTTGGAAGCAGAGGGCCGAGGCAGAGAAGCCTTACCAGGGCTCTTAAGTCCTCACTTTTTGCTCATCAATTCGTACCGCTGGTAGCTACAGGGAGTCAAGGTAGGTAGCTGCTTGGATTAGGTATTTTGTCAGGCAGCGCACAGAAAAGGGCCTGAAGTGGTCCCCTCCCTTGGGGAAAGGGAGAGAATGCAAGAGCAGACTCTTGCAGTGGCACAGCTGGGCTAAGGACTTGGGTGCATCTGATGTAAAGAAGCCCTAGGAAGTGAGGGGACATCCCAGTGTGGGCTGGAGGAAAAGGAGAGGGTTAAGATTTGGTCTTAAGATTCTGAACCCCAGTGAACTTTTCTAGGAGTAGAAAATGCCTTGGAGGGGGGAGACTCCTGAGAGAGGCACATTTCCCAGGGATAAATGCCTCTTATCCACTGAGACAGGAGCAGTTTGGCCGTGGGCAGGTGGCTCGGCCCTCCTCCTGTGCTTATGGAAGCCAGCGTTGTCTCGGCTTCCCTCAGGAGACTGGTGGCTCAACTGTCTCCACACAGAAGGGCTAGCGTTCTCCCCTGGGGCTTCCCAACAGAAGATCATGGGATCAGTGGACATTCAGCAAGAAATGTAGGCTCTCCAGTGACAGGGTAGTGTCCTTCCCCTTAGGTGATCCTAAGGTTGGCACAAGTCAGATTTCTGGGTTTTGGATTTAAGAAAGCCCCTTCCCAGGTGTGATCAGAGGCCCAAAGAGCAGCAGGGAGCCACCAGTATCTGGATGGTAGAGACCTCTGGAGGGACATTCTCAGTCAGTGTCTTCCAGGGCTTGGCTGAGATGAGCGAGGGAGGTGAGAGGTGTCGCAGAGGTTGGGGAGCAGCTTGCGTGGCTCCCCTCATTCCCAGTCCTCCCACTCTACATCTTCCAGCTGCAAATGTAAGAGGATAATGGAGAACACAAACACACTTACTCCTCTGAGTCAAGCCTGGACCCAACCTTCCCTTTGCTAAGCAAAGCCACCTCCATTCTGGATAGCTGACCCCAGCCCCAACTCTGAGCCATACCCTGGCCCTGCTGTGAAAGAGAACTCATGATCTTCCAGACAATGTAGGACCATATCTGGGCAAGAATGAGGGAAGGGCTTGTTGTTGCTTTGACTCTTTCATACCCAAAGGAAGTACTGCCACCAACCAACTCTGGACACTACAAGGGACACCTAAAGAACCAAAGCCTTAAGTCATTTCCTTAAGAGAACCTGGCTCAGCTTGATGCTGGTGGCTCATACCTGAATTCTAGCTACTTAGGAGGCTGCGATCTGAGGATTGCAGTTCAAAGCCAGCTCAAGCAGGAAATCCATGAGACTCTTATCTCCAATTAACTACTAGAAAACCATAAGTGGCACTGTGGCTCAGGTAGAGTGCTCACAACCAACCAACAACAACAACAACAACAAAAGAGAACCTGGCTCCTGTTGAACACACTTGAGGGTGGCACTCTAACTAAAAGCAGGGTATAGTACATGTACATGTTCACAAGGTCTATATCAGTGGCCAGCACCTTAGCTCTTGGCTTAAGTCTCTTTTCTCTTGCCTTGTTACTCCTGGTCTACTATCAGCTTATCCCTGATATGATGGGCTGCAGAATGACTAATCAGGTATACTGCATGGCAGGTTGGGGTTTTTATTACATTGCTAAGGATCAAACCCAGGGCCTCAGCAAATGCTAGGCAAATGCTTTACTACTGAGCTGCATCCCTAACTCTACTCATTAAGGTTTTTTTTTTTTGTTTTTTTGTTTTGCCAGTCCTGGGGGTTTGAACTCAGGGTCTGGGCACTGTCCTTGAGCTAGCACTCTGCCACTGGAGCCACATGCCACTTCTGAGTTTCTCTGTTTATGTGGTATGGAGGAACTGAACCCAGGGCTTCATGCATGCTAGGCAAGCACTCTACCACTAAGCCATATTC